CTTCCGATCTTGAGACAAATTCAAGGAACTTGTCATACTTGCCATTCTGTCTTGCGATTTCTCCAATTTCCGTCTCAATTGGTATGTACAACAAGTTGATCATTTGGCACATCTCCTGGGCATCGTCTTCATTCTTCGCGTACCTCTTGATGACATCGTCACCACGCTCTTTCAAAGTGACAGTATAATCCCATTTTACGCGTTTATCGGCGTAGCAAACAACGTCAATTTCAGTTAGCACCCCGCTTTGTCGTAAAGGAACGACGTGTTGTCCTATGATCTCACAGATCTCTTTCGAACACCCCAACTTCTCAGCTTCCGTCTGTCCAGTCTTGTCGTGACTTTCTTTTGTTGTCAGCGAGCGCGTCTTTGTGATGTCATGAAGAAGTGATCCAGCGATAAGGAGGTCTCTGTCCAAAACAAGCGTTGGGCAGAGGAGGTCGTATATTTCCAGTGCAATGGCCATCACTTTATGTGAATGGTTCCACACGTACATCGATGTTTTTGTTGTTCTGAGGAGTGTTTTACACTCTTCTATTCCAGGCGATTCGGCTTGATTGGATCTCATTCACTCAATCTCAACGAAATGACTTGCTGAGATTTTTTTTATGTGTTTTTGTGAAGCGAAAAATTGAGAAATTGAAAAAATAAAAAGTCACTTTTCCAAAACCCGTGAAAGAACTCAAAAAGCATATGAACATCACTGCAGCACAACTCGCTTGCGTCTTGGTCAAGAGGCGCTTCGCGCCAAAGATGAAAGACGTTCTCGAAACAGAAGACTCCATTTCGCACACGAAGATTGTCGATTTCATTAAGTCCGGAGTCCACGACGAAAAAATCAAAAAGGAGGTTCCAACCGCCGAGAGCGCAACAATAGACGCTTCAGTGCTCTCTGGTAAGTTCACCCACACATGGCCACCAGTCACTTCCGAAGGAAATCTTCACGACGACATCATCTTTGTGTATGTCAAAGTGGCGATAGATAAAGAGACAGCGATCGTGGCGAGAACTTATGGCGTTGATCCAACCAAGGAATTGAAACACACATATACTTTACTTCTTAAATTGGAACAAGATCTCGCGCTGAAATACAAAGCTGGAGTGACCGTCGAAGATAAAGTCGTTGAAGTGAACGACCTTTCACAAAAGGTCGATGTGATCAAAGGTGAAAACACGTTGAAAGAGGGCGATGTCATATCAATTAGAGTGTGGAGTGGACAGTTGATGATTGTGAACACATACTTTATTGGAGCGAAGACCGTTTGTATGACAAAATTCGTCCCAAGCAACACAAGCAGTGTGTTCTTCTCATTCAAAGAAGAGGAAGAGGTTGAGGCACTGCCAAAATTTAGAGAGAAAAAAACGGGAGACAACACTGAGGAGGAGAAGCTTAAGGAGTACGAGATGCAAAGAAAGGAGATGCGAGAGGAGTTTAAACCGAAAATTGAGGTTGTTAAAAAAGAGAAAGTCGACCCGACTTGTTACACAAAGGAAATCGAGCTGCCAAAGAAAAAGCCAAACTACATCGCCTCCGATGTTGACAAGTTTGCTTTGCTTTTGCCTGTTGGCGGGCGGTTGGTTCCATTCCATGTAAACTACATAAAAAGTGTGACAACTCGAGAGGGGTTTTTCAGAGTCAATTTTAATGTGCCCAGAGAAACAGAAGAGGGTACTACTTATATTAAGGAGCTCTCTTTCCACGTGAAAGACCCAGAGAGAATCGCAACTATCGAGAGGGACTACAAGGAGATGAAAAAGAAATGGACTGAGGAAGAAAAAATCAGAAGCGTGAGAGGAGTCAAAGAAGAGAAGTTGGTGATTAGAAGGGAGAACGTACCTGTGTTGAGGGCTGTTGGTATAAACCCCGTGCTTAAAGGAAAGAAAACAGAAGGCAATCTTGAGGCGCACATGAATGGATTCAAGTTTACATCAAATGGTGGAAATGTGGAGATTATGTTCAACAACATTCGGCATGCGTTTTATCAGAATGGAGATAAAGAAACTGTCATTTTGATCCACTTATTTTTGGACCCGCCTGTGATCATACAAAACAAGGCGTATTCACACATCCAGTTTTATAACGAAATTATGGATGTTTCACTCAATATTGATAGAAGCGACCATTACTACAGCGAGGCAGATGAACTGAGAGAAGAGGAAAGAGAGAAGAGAATTAGGGCGAAATACAACCACTTGTACAACGATTTTATGGGCAAACTGAAAGAACTTAAAGTGCCTGTTTTGTTTGAAATTCCATTCAGAGAGCTCAGATTTAACGGAACCATCAAAAGAAATACAGCAACAATGCAACCAACCGTGAACTGCCTCATCAATATCACAGATGCGCCGTACAAAGTGATCGAGCTTGAAACGATTGACATTGTTGTGTTTGAACGGTTGTCGAGAAATTTAACATTGAAGAACTTTGATATGGTTGTCATTTTCAAAGATCACAACAAGCCCGTGTTACCAATAGGATCCGTTTCGAAAGTTGACTTGGACCACATTAAGAAGTGGTTGACGAAGTGTGACATTAAAACGTACGAGACACCACAAAGTTTGAACTGGACAAACATCATGGAGACGGTCAATAGCGATCAAGAACACTTTGAGGAGAATGGGTGGTCGTTCTTAAATCCAGACAATGGTTCAGAAGACTCGGAAGAAGAGGAACAAGTGTACGAAGCGGTTGACGATGGTGATGACGAAGAGGATTTGTCAACAGATTTGTCAAGTGAGGAAGACGACGAAAGTTCAAGCGAGGAGGAAGAGGACGACTCTGGGGAAAGTTGGAGTGATTTGGAGAAACAGGCCATGAAAGACGATATGGTTAAAGACAGAGAGGAGCACGAAATGTTCGGGAGAGAGAAAATGATAAAGCAGCGAGAACGAACACAGAAGAAGTATGTGCCCCAAAGAACTACGACCATCCAGAACTTTTTCAAAAAGACAACCACAGCACCAACCAGAAGCTCCGCACCAATGAAGAGAGAACCCATCAAAATGAATAAGGCCTTTGTTCCACAGAAGAAGGAGACGACATTTTCGTTGTCGGGTGGAGTGAAGAGAGGCCCTCCAACTGCAGGGTCGTATGGGAAGAGAAAGCCGTAAACGCCATTATTGATTTTATGAGTTGATTTTTGTGTTTTAGAACTAGAAACGGAAAAGGTTGTGAGTGATGGAATGGACTTCAATTTACATTATCATTGTTACAATTCTCATTTTCGTTGTGTTTTTGTTGATTTTTGGTGCGTTGATGTGGTTCTTTTTGGGGAAGTGCTCTCGAAGGAAATACACTGAACAGTCGGTACCAAATGACCCATTTTCGGAGGTTGCGTATACAAATCCCAATGGTGAGGACGAGGTAATTAATTAACTTTACAATTACTTATTACTATAATAAGCTTTGTTTCATGGACCAATGTCGTGTGTTTTAGAAATTGTATTAAAGTAATGAGAATGAGCTTCATTACTACCAAAAGGCTTGATATAATTGTGTTAAGAATTAATGTTTAATAGCGATAACAACAGGTCGATTAAAGATCAAATACTTTGATTGGAGTGTTATTGTATAGTTAAAAATATACTAAAAAAGTTACACAAATATGATAAAAAAACTTAGTAAAGAAAAGAGGTTTTTGTTGAAAGAAAAAAAAATAGGTTTTAAAGGAACTAGAATGAAGTTGAATAAGATGTCGTTTTGCGAACAGATGGAAAATGATGACTATGAACTTGTTATGATCACGTACCCGCCAACTGTTTGTTGTGCGCACATAATGTAATAATTAAATCTGTAAAAGGTTTCAAAGTAAATAACAACTAGTTTGACATTAAAAAATTATCAACACTTCAATACAACGTTAAAGGAAAGAAAGACACCGTCAACCCACTTGAAAAAACAATGTATCAAAGCGTGGTCCCTCTCATCAACGATAAAGGGAAACTTTTTACCAAAAAACCATTTGTTGATGGATTTGAAGTTATTGACGACTCAAAGCCAACAGAAGTGTTAGAAGACGAAGAGATCGATTTCTTCCATTCAACCAAAGAGCCAAAGTATCACCCCGTCGATTGGGATAATTTGAAGGTTGATCCTGTTCCAAGTTATCCACTTACTAATTTTGTATACCACGGTGTAGTATCTCCCCTCAACTATGTTGCTGGTGAAACATATGTGATTCAAGAGGAGACTAAAACAGAGAAGAAGAAGAAAGAAAAGAAAGACAAGAAAGAAGACAAGAAAGAAGACAAGAAAGAAGAAGACAAGAAGGTAGTCACCACAGACGAGAAGGAAGAGAAGAAAGAGAAGAAAGAGAAGAAAAAGCATCGTTCCAAGAAAGACCGAACAGAAGGTGATGAAAAAGAGACTAAACATCATCACCACCACCATCACCACCACAGGAGTGGGAAGAGCAAGAAAGATGAAAGCGAATAAGAACTTATTGACTGGAGAATGTGACTTTATTTCCATTTTGGTTGATCGTCTATAAATATCCCAATAAAACAAATTGTATATTACTAATAAAAATAATTATAAATTTAAACTAAAAGAAACACACCAAGAAAATACGAAAAGAAAATGAACTTCCCTTCAAAACCCTATGAGCAGCACACAAGACATCAAACCGAACGAAAGGGTTGTCATCAAGAGAACCACCATTAATAGAATTGTAGAGGCCCGTCAGAAACGAAGGGAACTCCGCGAACGGTTGAGCGTCATCAGAAAGAAGAAGAACAGAGTCACCATCAAAATCAGTTTGTACAGTCTCCTTCAAAAACGCCGCTCGTTGATTGCGCAAGAGTCTAAGAAACGTCGTGTTGAGCGGAATGTGCTGAAAGGCGGTGTAGCTGGTATAGAAGGACTCATAGCAGTCATCACAGTGAAAAACCCTAGAACGGCGGCGTATTACACCAAAGACTTTTTGAACGAACTTGACATCAATAAACAGTTCACTGTTCGTTTCATCCACGCAGACGACGAAATTATTAAAAAACTGTACATCAGCGAAAATTACGTTCTTTTTGGGAAAGTCACAGAAGACACCGTCAGGCAACTCATATTGAAGAAAGGAGAAGTTATTGTCAATGGCGTCCCATGCGCTATTAAGTCAAACAAAGTTGTCAGAGATGCGTTTGCGGGGAAGTACGACGAAATCGAATGTGTCGAAGACTTGGTCAATGCCGTGTTGGACAAGAAATACGCAGAATACATCAACAAGATTCTCTGCCCTTTCCAAGTCGCCGGGACAGACTCCGAGTTCATCAAAACCAAAAACGGACACGTCGATAACCTCGACGAGGCACTTATCGCTTTGATTTAAACACATCTTGATTGACTTCTCTATTTTTATGGTTATAATAAATACAATGGTTGCTTTATTATAAATGTATAGTTCTTCTGACTGCACATTTTATAGTTAAATTATAAGAAGAAATGGTAAATTGAGTTAATTGATGCAATCGGCATAGTCTGACTCGCGCATGTTCTGCATTGAGCATAATCTCTGCTTTCGGCAAGTCCCCTCACAAGAGTAAGGGAGTTCCATTGCATAGTGTTTCATGAACTTGGCCCACATTGTGTCGTCATTGGTAAGCAAGTCGTTGAGTCTGCCCATCTCTGTGTTACCCAAATCGACAAGTCCATACTCTTCACAGGCACTGTACGTCTTTTGCCAATCATATTTCCTATTTTCATTACATTTGTTGATATCCAACACGTAAGTAGTGAAGTCGACAAATTTATTCTCGGAGTATTTGTAGAGTCTTAGACCGGGGTTTGCGCCGTTTGGAGTCATAGGAGGGTTGTTAATACATGAATAGAATGGGTTTTGTGGTGGATATATTCTGTACGACTCGATGTGGTTATGACCACACAAGTGTCCGACTATGACATCATTGAATTCTTTGTAAAGTGACAAGAAGTCTTGTGTAAAGTATGCGTTGACATCCATCATACCAGTCGCCTTCAAGCCAGCGCACTCATGTGAGATGATAATAGTTTTCTCTCCTTTTGCTTTCAATGTGTGTAAAGTAGTATTGAACCAGGCCATCATATCGCCCGGGTCGACTTCTGGGTATCTCCCTGCATGAGGGTTCATGATATCAAAGTATGCTGTTTGCAATGAAATGACATTCATCCCATTGGGAAGTTTAATAATGTAATACCCTCCCTTCTTGACAGTGTCCAATTGTTCCTGTGCTAACCAGTCACTCCACCAGACACTCATGTTCTCCAACATCCATGTTGATTCAGGTGGGTAATTCCAGAATGATGTTTCGAAGTAGTCGTGCTATCGAATGAATATGTACTCTTATAATAATATAAAGAAGAGTGTGACAAACGTTTCCAATTGAAGGTAATACAGTGAATCCGGGAAGATGTTGTTTCAGTGCGTCATGAAACGTTTTTAAGTCGTTTAAATTTCTTTGTTTAGTCATTTGGAACATATCCGATGGGATGACATCCATCAACCAAATCACAGTCGTTGATTTATCTTTGTTCTTGTAAATAAAATCAGCACCAGACATGATTGTATCAAGAGGAGCATGGCACGAGTGACTTCCACAAAACCCTGCTGTAGTCGTGTCTCCATTCTTTGGTACAGAGTCGTTGTGGCAGCACTGTTTTGTCATTATTTTCAAACGAAAGAGTGAATTGTTTTAAAATGTAATAAACAAACGTCGATCATTTTACAATTGGAATAGCCACCCTCCGCAAATTTCGAGTCGAAGTGTGTGTCAGAAATCACCCACACATAATCTTCTAGAGCGTTTGATAATACAACCATAATAATCAACAATAACATGCCCGTATGATTTTCGAGTTGTGTTGTTTTCAAAAGATACTTCTTTTGAACATCAAAAATATTCCAACTTTTAAATTGTTTTGTAGTGCAGAATCATTGGCTTAAATATTTATTGATTTAAAATGGTGGATGTATTGGATTTCTATTAATATAATACCTATTATTATAAAATTACTTAATAAATGAAACAATAAATTTTTAAGAAGTTTCGGTTATTATTATAGTTTTTATTAGTATAAAATTATTATATAAAAAATAAATATAATATTAAAAACTATTTTTCCAAGAATAGAATCAATAGATTTTTTAATTAATTATTTATAGAAGTATTCATTAATTTTTAAACTTGTTTTGCCCTAAAATGATTTATTAATTTATTAATAATAATATAATAATTGTATATAATTAATTATTATAAATGTGGTTTAATTATTTTGAAATTTAAAAAAATACAACTGCCAAACCATATATAATAGTATAATATATCTATTATCTAATATATTTCATTTTATTGATTTTATTTAATTCAGTCTTCTCAGTTTTAATCCAAACATAAGATTAACAAGTAACTATTTAATTATGATATGAGAACTATACTCTTTGGTTTAATTCAGAGCTTAGGCGAATGGCTTTGTTTGTTATTGAGCATAAAGGCCAAAACATCTTCCATTCTGTCGTCTGTGGTGAAAGTAATGGGGACTGACGGCGACTCAACCCGGTCATCATCGTCATCATCTGAGTCGTCGACTGAGTTCGATTGGAATGGGGATTGTGAGACCTCACAGGTGTTCTTTTCGTTGTTATGTTGTGTCACACATATCTTATCATAAAAGTTGCTTTTAATTCTGGAGTAGCGGTTCATTGTTTCTGGTGTGATGTACTCTGCTTGCTCGAGTTGTGTGTTCATTGACTGATGCTTTCTTGTTTCGAGTAGATTCTTTTTATTTATAAGGCCTTTTGCCAAGTCATAAAAATTTGTCCAAAAATCTTTCGAACGCACTCTTATTTGAGGTTTAAAGTCATGTCCCCGCTTTTTACTTCATTTTTACGTATTTATTATTAGTTGACGATTTTTGGATGAAGTTGTTTTCTTTGAAGGGCCTTTTTTTGAAGAAAACACGAACCTATTTTTAATCTAAAGCCCTTTCATGAATATTTTTTACTGAAATTTTCCCGGTTATTGAGGATATATTCGATAGTTAGTTCAAACAATAAAAAACTGAAAATTCAACTAGGTTTCTGTGCTTTTTTTATTGTGAAGTTTAAATAGTTGGTAAAATAGTGGATGACCAAACGCTTAGAAATGCATATTTGTTTATGAAGTGAATTCTTTTTTCTTTTTAAATAACCAACAAAACTGAACATTCACACATACAATTATTAAATCAATATAATTAAATTATCCATTACTTATTGTTTTTAATTGGTTGGTTTGTTTTTTAATTTAAAGTAATTTAATTTGTAAAAATATATTTCATATAATTAGTTATTATGATAAAGAAGGTCTATTTCTCAATGCTTTTTAAACTCAATATTTTTTTTAATATTTATACTTATGCTGTTAAATATGCTTTTTTGATACCACTTTAGTTTTTATGTTGATTCAAGACTTTTTCAAACCATCGAAATTTTTTGTTAAAAGGGTTATTAAAAATAAAAATAAATGAATTAACAACAATCGAAACTTACAAAATTCTTTTTGATTCATTTTTAAAAACTTATAATTTTTACCATTCAAACTAATTTGGTTTAAACAAAAATAATTATTTAAAATTGTTTGTTTAACCTTTTTAAATATTTTAAATCTTTTTTTTAAATACAATTGATATATAGTTTATTTTAATTAATATTTTAATTAATTTATTAAATTGATTATTTTTTTTGTGAAAGCAGCCTTGTTTTTTTTTGCCAAAAATAAAATAAATCAACTTTGATTATTTTATTAGTTTAGTTTACCATAAACAAATTAATGTGAATATTTTCAAACACGTTTTTACTTTGATAATTACAATATTAAAGCCAATAGTTATCCTGTTTTTTAGTTTGGAATATTCAAACCAAATAATTAGTATATATATAAATTTGAACTATTTAATATAATTAATTTGATATAAATTATAGTTAAAAAATCAAATAAAAATTAATTCGTTTAACTATTTTTACTAATTTAAATAATAGATACAATTAATTATAGTTATATTCTGATTTTATAATACTAAGATTTATTATTAAATATTATAGTATGTAATAGTTACATATTATTAAAAATAAGACTCAAAATTATTATTATAGAATAACATTATTCATTAGTTAAAAATAACATAATCATTAGTATGTAAAAATATAGTGTTTCTATCACTTATGATATAATTAATCTAAATACAATAAAACTAAAAGTGTATCTTAATGGTTTGATAATTAAAAAAGACGAAAGTAAGATTGTCTCAGAAATTATAGTCCGGCACAAAGTCGTCACCGTTTGTTTCGACAAAATCTGATGTGTCAAATGTCAAGTTCAGATTCTTTCTTTTTTCACCTATCTCTTTTCCTCTCATTCCTTTTCCCGCTCTTCTCATGTCGTTTTCGTGAAAGTCGTCGTGCATCCCTTCGAACCTTGGATCACGTCTTCCCATGCCCATCATAAAGTCCATTCTTTAATTTCAATATTCAGTTCATTGAATTTTTGAGGTATGTCATTCTCTTTAATGTTTTTTATTTGTAATTATGTTATTTAAAAGCAAATGAATATAAAAAAACGAGACTAGATTTTTTGATTAAAAAGACCCGATTTTGTTGCAAAACAGCTCGTACAAAACTAATAATAAGAATAGAGGAAACCCTTTTTTTTATAACAAAAAGTTCACCAGTATAACCCTTTTCATATGTCTGATACTGATTACACCGACCATTGGTGGAAGGGTATCTCCTTCACCCCCGTGAAAGTCAAAAACGATATGAGCCTTGCACAGAAAAAGCACGAGATTGCTAAAAATAAGTACGACCAATTAGTGCTTGAAAGCGAAAAGGAGGCAGTCAATTCAAAAGACGGGAAATGGATGAGAAACCTTGTGAATACCGGTACATACTCCGATCAAGTAAAAGCACTTGCTTTATTAGTCAGAAGTAACCCACTTACTTGTCTCGAGTATTTAGTCCAACTGCTGGCTATCTGTGAAAAAAAGAACAAAGACGTCTCGGACTTAGCTATCCGCGCGTCTAAAGAACTTTTCATTGACATTCTCCTTCCCGATGAGCCTCTCCTTTTCTTTATTGAAAATGACTTCACTAAGGCAAATACCTATCAATTGGCTCAAATGTATTTCATGAACGCATTGAAAGACTCATTTGCGAAGTACATTCATTCCCTTAAACGTCAATCGTCCGAAGTTTTGAACCAATTCAAATTGAGTGCGGTACGGATTGCGGGAGAGTTGGCTGTCAAAAAGCACGAAGCGCAAATTGATTTGTTGAGTGTCGTTGCAAACAAACTTGATGATAAGGATCGAGTTGCGTCATCCAAAGTACAGATTTACCTCACACAGATCCTCGAAAGATACATTCAAATGACTCCCTATGTGATTGATGTGTTGAAACAGTACATTAACAAGCCTGATATTACAACACAAATGATCCAAACCATTCTCGCCGTCTTTTCTAAAGTCTCGTTGTCACGTGTAGGTCACTCCGTTGCCGAGGAATTATTAAAATTGAGTATTAAATTCTTCAATGCAGTTGTAGATAAGAAAAAGTTCAACAAGAAGACCGACTCCAAAGTTGTTGAAAACGCCGTCAGAAGTATCAAGCGTTGTTCTTTATCTTCACGCGACTTTAGTGGCATTCTTGAAAATATAGACGGACTCTATGAAGCTGCAAAACACTTGGAGTTCGCACGTATGTTGGACGTCTTTGTTGTTCTTTCGTTAGTTAATAAGAAGAGTAAAAGCAAACGATATTTGAAGTTGTTGTACACGAAGATGAATGAATTGCCCTCTCTTCGATCAAAAAAGATATACACCTTCTTAGAGATCGTCGAAAGCTCATTGAACGAATTTACTTCATACGACGTCGTCGCTTCATTCATTCGAAAAATGTTGATATTATCATTGGAAATGAAACCCCCTGTCATTTGCAAAATACTTGCAATCGTTAACAATTGGATCAATGTTTATCCTCCACTGAAGTCCATGTTCACCGCATCAAACTATTTCGATGAAGAAGAAAATTACAAGGATCTGGACGACTCCGAACAAAAAGACGACAAAGTCGAGAAAGAAGAGCATAAGACAAGTTCTTCTGATGATGAGGAGGACGAGACTGACAACTCCGACTTCATTAATAAGAAGAAGAAACACGCCAAACCACAGAATTTGTATGGCGCAAATCAGAAGTTTGATGTCTGCGGATATGATATGACACAAATATTCCCAGAGAAGACGGGTGCTGTTACTACCAAGTGTTTTGAACTCACGTACTTAGTAAATCACTACAACCCGTCTGTCCGTAGATACGCAAAATTACTTGTTGCTGGTATGCCTTACACTGTCGGGAAGTACGACTGGTGGTCTTTAACTCCAGCCGTTATGCTTTCCCGCTTCAAGTTGAAAACCTTGACTGTTCATTTCAAGTCCGAGAAGATTAAAAATGAAGTCATGCTATGTTCCCCTGTCAACTCTGAAGAATTTTTGCGATTCGATCGAAGTAAAGTCTTACCAGAGCTTTTGTTCTTCTTCGACTATTACACCGAAAACCACGTGGAAAAGGGGTTGGCTATGCCCGATAAGTTAAATATGGATTACTCGGACGATTTGGAAGAAGACGATGAGACGTTGTATGGAGGAAATGTGCCGCACAAAGCGGAGAGTCAAATTGAAGGGCAAGTCGTTGATTTCGATGTTCCACAAGAGAAGGTTGAGAAGGATGACAGCGATGAATACTCATATGAGGATTTAACGTTTGGTGGGGATTTGACTGGTACCATTCCGGATGACGAAGAAGACATGGATTTAATAGATGTTGGAGAATTAAAAGAACATAGCGATGATGAAGAAGAAACGAAAAGTTCTAAGAGAAAGAGAAATCAAAAGGATGAGTGAAAGTGATTGAAGAGATTTTTGATAGAGTTTATATCCTTTGTATAAGACTTTTTTTGTCTAAGATATTTGTGTAAGAATTGCAAGTAACGAATCAAAAAAAGTCAACTATATTTCTAGTTATAAAACTATAATTTTTACTATAACACAATCAATAAATAAAGTGAAATAAAAAGTCTTAAACGGTTCAAAAAATATCGGAAGTTCTCTATTGATATGATAACACTAATCAACAAGTAAATGTTTGTTTTTTAGATTTCTATGTACCGATAAAACTATCTACAAAAACTTATTTTTGTATGCCGACTTTGTTTTCAGACGCTGAATAAAAAAGATAAAAAGAACCAAAAAGTCCAGAGATGAGTTCAAAGAACACGGGTCCAGTATTGCGCTGCTTCTATGTCCAATTTCCACTCAACTCCGTCAACATCGAAACTTTAGTCTCGACATCAGATGATATCAAAGTCACAGAATATCTCCAGTTCTTGTACCCCGAGTTGGATAAAATTAGTTACGCTGCTATCGAAGCGATTCCCTCAAAAACTTTTTCGTGTGTTCGAACAACCATCGACCACGACTACGAACACTGTTTCATCCTCCGTTTTTTGGAGAAGACCCCAAAAGCCATTTTAGTTATAACATCGGAGTACAACCCATTTTTCCAAACTGTGTTGGACGAAGTCAAAAAGAATGTGACATCCATTAACATCAAAGAACTTTTTGGAAAACTCAAGAACCTTCAACGCACCGAATTGATATGTGACAAGTCGGCTATTTTAAAAATCGTCGACTTCAGAATCTTTAAGGTCGCGGTCAAGCCAAATGATTTTGTGATTAACACATTGTCTTCATTTGGTGTGAATGCATTTGTCGATATTGTTTTTAAATTATTACTTGAAGAACGGTATATTTTCCTTGCATCATCCATCGAACAACTCAACCCAATCATCCAAGCATTCACGTTTGTGTTACAGCCCTTTGTCTGGCAACACATTTTTGTCCCTATATTGCCCATGTTCTTAAACGCTTATTTAAGTTCGATATTACCTTGCATCATCGGGTGTACTCGAGGGACTTATGGTGCTTTTGTGATGGAATTTGGCGCGGATGATGCTGGTATGCACGTTGTTGATTTAGAAAAGCGCCAAGAAACGTCGCGGTGCATTTCGGAGAACACGTTGAGTAACGAGGAAGTTGGGATTTTCCTCTCGAAATTGGACTTCGTTGTGAACAATAAAGAGTCGTTTCAAGATGAGGACGTCATTGATGTCTTCAGAGAGATGTATCAAAAGATATTTGGACACTTAAACAAATACTTTGAGAAAGTTGGAGATGCGTGGAGATTTCATACGCAGAAATTTGTTGAAAGTACGCCATCGATGTTTAAAGGTTTTGTTGAGAAATTTACACAGTCACAGATGTTTTGCATGTTTGTGGAACTCCAAGAGAACAATTTACTTGTGAACAAACCTGTTCAACAATTTGTCATCAACACCACTAAACAATTTCAATACGACAAACTTTCGAAAATCAGTCCAGTCGAGCGAAGGTGTCGGTCGTGTTTACAAGAGATCAAATTGGATCAACCCTTTTTCCAATCACAAGACAAAAGTGTGTTACACCGACAATGCTCAAAATGTATTATTTGTGACAAATTTTCAGATTTAAAGAAATGCCCATTGTGTGTCGGGTTTAAACAACCAGTGACTCAGGAAGAGATCGAAAATTCATATAAAAAGGCGTTGGAGAGAAACGCTTTATTGCAAAAGAAATTGAACGAGAAGTTATCAGAAAACGTCCAAGAAGGCGACCTCACCGCTGAACTCCAAAACAATTTCGGAAAGACAATTAAAGAGCGCGAGAAGTTGTTGACACTCAAAACTCCACAACGCCGTGGCGAGTCTAAACCGAACTTTTTGAGACAATCAATTTCAAGAACATTGGGGTCTTTCGGAACAAAAAGAAAAACACCAGAAGGATCCCCTTTAGTCGTTTCATCAACACCAATTATGCCAATATCCCCTTCTAAACGAGCTACTATGAGTCCTATGTACCCAATCCCACCTCCACAAGACCAAATGTTATTCCAACCACCACCCGTCCCCCCAAAGAGACCTTACAAAGAACAACGCGTTGTAACACCAGACAGACAACTCTCAAAGTCGGTCGACTCAAATCTGATTGTTTTTGCTCCTCTTCGCCATGTCCAAACAGTTGATGCAAAGAGTGAAATGACTAAATCTACAAATGTAAAACGTTACACGACTAAACAAGTCAATAGACCGCTGCCCCCAGTCCCACAGAATAGATGCAAGAAATGACATCAATGTTTTGTACTCTTGTATTTACCATGGCTTTGTTTACTATAATTTATAGTTTATTTCTCTCTTTTGGTGGTCTTATTCTATAATTAAAGTATAGCTCTTTTACTATCACTATTAAAATTTGTGTTTCTGGTTTTGGTCAAAAATACTTCACGTCACTAAACCATAAAGTATAGTAACATATAGTATAATTATAGTAAATAATTGAAACATTCCTCACATACAGGTTTTATGCTCCGAATTGGTTAAATAAGAAAGAAAAAATCCCTCAAAAAACACATGAACTTGAAATGGTTGATTGCACAAATTTGTCCTCTCAACTCGGGTGAAAATCCCTAAGATATTTAACAAATTGAGTTTTGTAACAAGACTAAAAGAAAGTTAAACATTTCTAGTAAAATAATTAGATCAAATAGTAAATAACCTGAAATAGAAAAGTGGTGAGTATCGCCATGTCAGAGATAACCCAAATAAAAGGGATAAGAACTAATAAAAAGTGAAATGGCATACTCTTTCCCGAAATTCTCATTGTTCATCGGACTTGTTCTGATGGGCGTCATCATTGCGAACTCGCAGTTTGGTATTGGCAACAAGATGCAAGATCAAGCTGTGTTCCGCGAGCACTTAAAGGCGAAAGTTCACAAGGAGATGTGTAACGGCAAATACCCTGCACCAGTAGGGACACTTGTAGCGAAGTTCCCGATGATAACATCGACTCATATGTTGATTGCTGCTGTATCTGCATTGGCGCTGTGTTTCTTGTTCAACTTGATACCACAAAATGGGTTCTTCTCATGGGTGATGATTCACTTGTTTACGTTGGCGTTCTTCTTGGTAGCGATAACTGCTGGTTATTTGTTTGCTAAGTCGCAGTCAGACATGTGCGTAAAGGCCAAGGAAATGGTATCCGTCAACTCGACATGCCCATTTGCTGGTGTTATGGAAAACAAATTTGTTCAACAAGGCATCAATTATATTCCAGAGACTATTAGAGCTAAGGCTATGACTTTCAAAGACATTTTGGTCGAACATGTGACTAAGTTGGGCATTAACGCGCCAATTTTCGTCATCGTTATTGCTTTCTATTTGATCAATAAGAACACAAGAAGTGTCACCCGATTCGAAGTGTTGGGTCTCATTTCGTTGATTGTATCCCTCATTTCCGGATATGGATATTATCAAGAGACTCATGACGTCGTGTTCTCAATTGTCTTCCCAATTGCTACTATCGTCTTGGTACTCATTTGTGTCAACTTGGCATTGAAATTAGGGTTCTTCTTCGTCGTACCAGAATACTTCTTCTCGGCCGCTTCTATTGCTTTCAGACTCTTCTACGTCCTTGCTGCTTTCAACATTCCATTCGCTATGTTGATTGCTGTTGGGTTCTTTGTCTTCTTGTTCGTCAACATCGCAGTGTGGTCTGATGGATTCTTCTTGTCTGTTGTCTTCTTGCTCAACTTCGGTTTGTCTAAGCTCTACACTTTCCCGGCCGACTCCCTCGTTGTTTTGTTATTCACCTTGGCTGTCTTTACATGCGATTGCTGCTGCAAAAAGTCCTGCAAAGCCGAGAAGAAACCCAAAACAGATTAATTAAGTTCGTTAACACATTTTATTATAATATTTATCATATTATAATTATAGTATTACTCAATAGTATTTAAATTAATAAACTCCTCGAAAACAAATCTTAAATAGATAAGTAATGTTATTATTATTTTCTTCTTGCATTAAATAGTAAAATAAATAGTAAAATAAATAAAACAGAATGATAACAAAAACAAAGTGATTAATTGGGTAGTTGTGATGTGTTGGCTTCTTTTAATTCAATCGAAGGCGATTCAAATGAATACACAAACAACTCATGCACAACAATAGTAAAGCTACCGAAGTCACCCGGGAATAAAGTCATTGGGATGATAATATATTCCCCGTGTTCGACATTAATTGTCTTAGTGATCGACCCGGTGTATGTGAAATCCGTTGAGAAGACAATTTGTTTGTTCTCAAAGTTAAACACTTTCTCGTCTTTATTGACTCGAATCATCGTCATCCCCTTCGAGATTTTGTCATCCGAATTGCCCTTTTCGATCAGCTCGACAACTATTCGCGTCGAGTCTCCTATTCGCAAATAAAATTGTTGGTTCTTCCACCAATCGCTGTATGTGAAACTGCCTCCTGCAGTCTCGCTATTCCACGCCCCTTGTGCCCACACTGTTTTTGTTGGGAAGAATGCAGACATATAAATTTCCCACATCGAATACACATAGATTTGAAATGATGCTCTTGCTGATTTTCCTTGCAGATATGGTAACAAAATATGGGTCTCAATTTCATGCTCAAGCATTAAAGAAGCACTGCCATCTTCATTCAAGTCGCTCTCCTCTTTGACGTTTCCAGGCATCAAGACGGAGAGTGGCATTTCATACGCGTTCTTCTCAAACATTACAAAGCCGACCTCGTCCTCATCTTTGTCGACATTTGCAGTGAGTACTATAAACATTGGCGTCGGGTGAATGACCGTCATAAGGAACTTCGGGTTATCGCACCATTGATACGAACTATTTTTCACTCTTCCCCCATTCGTGTGATACGTCCACTCTCCATTGATTTGATACATTTTCCAATCGGTGTCAATCTCATTCAATGCTTTAACTATGCACGACGCATACAAATACTCAAACTCTAAATTGAACTTCCTCCGAATGTTCGGTTGGTACGTGCATCCAAAGACAACATACCACCCAACATCTAATTCAACCGTTTGTTCTATTCGCCTCTTCGCAGAAAATGTGACCCCTTTCCCACTCGCACTTTCATCATCAAGTTCTAAGATCCGTTTGCGGTCTTTCGACTCTTCTGCATTCAACAAGTATAACCCAATATGGGTCAAGTTACTCTCTTCCGCTATTTGCTCTAAACTAATGCGGACTTGGGTCTTCACACGAATTTGTAAACTGATTTGTAAGTTGTTTCGCCACGTCGGGAACGCATGACACCCTCCCGCACTCACTCCTTTCCATTCGGATGAAAACCTCACAATTTCATTGTCCCCGTTATCTATCGTTTTCCGCGTGATCTCCGCATTCGACTTGACTAGAAGGACTTTACTATCCAAATTTTGGTACTCTCTTCTCAATGGAACAAACGGTTGATTTGGATTTTCATTGGAGAAGGAGGAGATGGGTGATGGCATATTTCGTTCCTCTGCGGTGCGTTCCGACTCGACGGCAAACACTTTTGGGATGTTGAGCGAGTCTTGTTGTTCATGTTCGATCATGTTCTCGTCTCCAATTTCCTTTTCGGAGTGCCACGGGAAGTTAGCCAACGGTACTGGTGAGAATCGCGTTGGGACTTTATGGATTGGCATATCTTCTGGTTTTGATGGGGAAGTGATCATGTTTTGGACTAAACTTTTCACGTCCGCATCTGCTAAAGACTTTTCTGGTTCTTGTTGAAGAAGTGTTTCATTGTTGTCAACATCATCATCTTCTTGTACATCTGCCATCGCAAATCCTTTAATAATATCATCGAGTTCATCCATCTCATCTTTAAGAGATTGGTCTTGTCGTTGGTCTTGGACATCAGGCTTTTGTGCAGTCATTTCTTTCTTCCGCATTTTGATGAGCTCGAGTGCCTTTTCAATACCACCGTTCTCTTGAATCTTCTCGGAGAGTCGATCTAACAAAACGACAAGACTTTGTTTGTTCTTCATAGTTATGAATGGGTGTTGAAGAAGGGTAGTAGCTCGTGCTCTTTGATCCGGGTCTTTCACTAAACACAAACTTAAAAATTCGCGCATTAAAAGACTGTGTTCGTTCTCGTTTTTCAATTTGGGAGGGGGGTTCTTGTGAATCAGCATTAACACTTTCATCGGGTAGATATTATAGTACGGCGGATATAACTCGGCCATTTCTATCACAGAGATCCCTAACGCCCACACATCTACCTTTTCATTATACCCAGATTCATCAACTATTTCAGGCGCTAAAAAGTACGGCGTTCCAATTAAAGTCTTGTGGTGACTTTTTGCGTCGAGGGTCGTTGCTATGCCAAAGTCCGCCAACTTCACCGTCCCATTTTGAGAGATCAAAAAATTGGCCGGTTTGATGTCTCGGTGGATTTTGTGGTGTTGATGAAGATAAATAAGTCCATTCAACGCATCGTGGCATATCTGCGCTATAACGTCTTCAGGCAACTCAAGGCCAAGGATATCAATCATGTCCGCAACTGACCCATAAAAGCAGAACTCCATCACAATCTATTCGTTACTATAATGTACTATAAACATATACTATATCAAAACGAGAATCGAATAATAAATATACTATACAAGTACTATACAAAGCAAACCCATATTTCCTCTTGTCTCCTGAGTGATGTGTAATACTTGATGATGTAGTCACACTTAAGAAGTTTTAAAATGTCGATCTCCCTCATTGTTTCTTGGTTACCAACAGCTGATAAGCATTTAATAGCCACAAACGTCTGTGTCGTTTTTTCAAAAGCTTTGTACACCGACCCAAAGGAACCTTGACCAACCCTCTGGACCAGTTCGTACTCCGCGAACTCGTCATGCGCCATACCAAAGTCCATCGAAGCTCTTTTAGAGTTTTTTAACTTCGTTTTTTCAGTTAAGGACTAAAAGTGTATTGGACTCCAATCATTTTGACCTCTTTCGCAAAACACAGTATCAATCGTTATTATTATTTTACTATTTAATTATACTACATAGAATTCTCTCTATAAATAATTGTTGTATTAATAGAATTGTTGAAACCATATTTATAATTACCGTATAGTAAATAAATGAGAACTGAAAGAGACATAACATAAAATAACACAATTGATGTCTTAGAGTGAATTGCTGTCTCGTAACAACTCTTCGACTTTTGCAGCGCGCTTTCTGATCTCAGCGTTTGGCGATTGGAGGAGCTTACTATAATTTTGCATGATATTGAGTTCGTTGAGTTTGTCTTTGATTGTTGGGGTCATAGTCAAGTTATCGAAGCTTATCAACTTAATGATGCCAGCAAGAAGAGACAAGACCATTGTTTGGTCGGGCGTTAATAAAGTGATGACAATAGCTTCGCACAACAAGTCGCTGCGGACTTTGCTTAAATCGGTGAGTTTATATAATACATTAGTGAGGACCCATCCACACTCGATCTTGATCTTAGCGTTCGTACTTTCCACAATAAATTTACACGATAACATTAACCCCCCCGATGACACTACGTTCTCCGTCATCCCTTCAAAACTCCCAGCAGAGATATTAGAAAGAATCCAGAAACAGATCTTCTGGATGTATTCGGGTGAAGTAGTGATTTTTGTGACTGCGACTCCACAGATCTGCCCCGAACTGGGTAAGTCATCTTTTTGAAAGACATAAGCACCAAGACATAATAAACAAGCTTCACATAATTTCTCGTCAGTGTTCAATTCAAGGAGTTTGATGCACCGCTCCTCGGCACGCAGTGGACGCAATTCATTCACAAAATTGCCACTCATGTATAAGCCATGAATTGCATGCATCATATTAGTCATGATAAGGATATCATTGATGTTGATCAATTTCGAAAAGAAGATGATGTAACTCACCACAAAGTCATGGGCGTATTGATAATTTGAACAAATCACTCGGATGATCGACGATATCTGGCGATACACTAGCTCCGCACCAACTTCGGGAATCGACGCTACAGCAGTCACCAATTTGCCAAACAAGTTTTGGTTCAGAAATCGGGAGACTAATAGAGGGTGTGTGCACGCAGTGCTGATACTATCGAGTGTGACTGCAATGACTTGGTCGTTGTCACATGTCAAATACTTCAAACACATATCGACAAACCCTATTTTTATCATCTCTTCGGGTTGAAGAAACGGGGACTCCGCGCATATTACCAGTATCTGCGCAAACATAATGAACACGCGATATCCATTACTCCGTATTTGTTGAAACAACGGTTCTCCATAACACATCGAAGCAATACGGAACAATACGGGGATGACACGTTTCATAAAAGGAACATAAAGCTTTGGTTCCATTATCATCTTTTGTCCCACAGCGGTAACACTTTGGAATACAATGTCTTCGGTCACCGGGACGACGCTTAAGTTCTTTTCTAAGTACTTAAAAACTTCGTCTTCGACTTTTTCATACGCTTTACTTATCTTCTCGGATTCTATTTCTTTTTGCCTACGAATTAATACAAGGTTGGCGTTTGTTATCTCCTGACGACGTTCAACTAACAACCGCTCCCGTCGGCTTTGCCGACTTTCGTCTTGGGATATCCGATGTGAGCGAAGAATACTTTCTTGACTCCCTTCCAACCTATAAGCCATTACTAATACAGTTTACTATTTTAGTATTATAATGTATTATAATATATTATATTATATTATATTATATTATAATGTATTATATTATATTATGTTGAATTGATTGTTTCTATACCAATCCAAATAACAAAAATTGTAATGGAAAATTGTTGGACAAATCCAAGACATCAGAAATACCGTATCATAAATTATAGTTTATAAAATTATAATTTATGGTTTTAATAATACAAGAAAGAGTAGTGATGGATAAAGAGGAACTGAAACTGCAAAACAAATTATCAAAGAATGAACACCGTTGTTGCTCTGCAAGAGTATTTGACTTATACATTTGATGAAACGCCAGGGATGAAAGCTTTGATAGTAGACTCGGACACTATTCCTGTTGTGTCTGTGTTATTTTCCATGACAGAAATTATCCAAAAAGAGGTGTACTTAGTACAGCAACTGAGCGACCCCACACGAGACTCGTTACCTCATTTGAATGCCGTGTGCCTCTTACGACCAAGTAAAGAAAATATGGAACTTCTTAAGAATGAGTTGTCTGCGCCGAAGTATGGGAAATACTATTTATGTTTGTTTCTATGATACCACTAAGCTCTTGATGTCACAAATAGACTTCACAAACTTCATTGACACAACCCAACTCACTTTATTGAGTCACTCTGACATTCATGAAGTTGTTCAAAAGGTGTTGGAATTGTATGTGGATTATATGCCAATCAATGACGACCTCTTTGTCACGTCATGCCCAAATTTCTATTCAGTGACTGCACCAAACTCGTTTTACTTGGAACAGAAAACAATCAATTCACTGACTTCACTGTGTCTCTCTCTCAAAAAGAATCCCTCAATGTTTGTTCTCTCAACTTGCCTCTAAGACGGTTGAATAGATTGATGTGTAGACGCTTCCAACAGAACTCCGAACTGAGCAAACGAATAGCCGAAGGTCTCAGCCAACAATTGGAGAGAGAAAAGAGTACGTTCACTAACAGTAGCACAGGCACAACACTTATCATCGTCGATCGTAATTATGACCCGATCACTCCTTTATTAACACAGTGGACGTATCAAGCGATGATCCACGAGTTTGTTGGTATTGAAAATGGCAAAGTTGTTGTCGACGATCGGTCGCTTGTTCTTACAAATGACGACTTTTTCATCGAGCACATGTATTTGTTATTCAGTGACATCACCGACTCCATTGTGACAGCAGTGAACGACTTAACTCGGAAAGCTGGTGTTGGGAGTAAACAATATGCCTCACTTGAAGAGATGAAACAAGTTATCGAATCGATTCCACAGCTTAAAAAAGAGTCTGTTGGTGTTAAAAAGCATTTGGGGTTAATGGGGATCATCAACAAGGCGGTGAGTGTCCGACGGATGTTAGATGTTTCACGATTAGAGCAAGAGATAGTGTGTTCGAGTGGTCGTGCCGAGTTATTCCAGAGTGTTGTGCAGATGTTTTCTGGGGACTTTAAAGAGGAAGACAAGATTCGGGTAGGGATGCTCTATGCCTTGAAATATGAAGAAAAGTGTAGTGAAGTGATACAAGAGTTAAACAAAGTTGGTATCCACCCAGACAAGACACAAGTGATTGAGACTGTCATTCGATATGCTGGTGCAAACAAACGACCATTAGACATATTCACAAAGGTCAAGAGTGTCTTAGGCTTTGTCAAAAAGAGTGTCGCTGGCGTCGAAAACGTATTTGTCCAACACAAACCACTTTTAGACTCTTTGCTCGAACCTTTTGTGACTCAACAACTTCAAGACAAGTTCCCATTTTGCAGAGGAGGGACTACAAACGGTCGGGACTTCATTATATTTGTTGTCGGCGGAGTTACCTTTGAAGAAGAGATAGCTGTCGCAACACGAAATCGAAATTATCCAACTCAGAAGATCATTCTCGGTGGGACTGATATTCTGAACACTACTAAGTTCATCAATGAGATCAAAGTGATGAAGAAGTGACTCATTTTTATATGTTTTCTTCACCATCATAACCCGAGTGTCAAAAATCAGTCTTTAAATGCACACGCTAACTGTGTCAGTTTCAACATCCCGTCGTACGTCTTATGGCAACACAAAAATCCCGAGTTGTGTGTGAATACAGACCCTTCGACTCCAGTCACTTCACTCATCTTTTCATCCCGGAGTCCTCTCCATGGCAACGGAAATGGTTTGCGCATTTTGAAACTCCCCTGTGCAATCGGAACAGCAATACACCCCCATTGTCCTCTTGTATCGTCAAATGAGACAACATACAACACCTGCCTTAACTTCCCTGTTTTAAGTGCTTCTTCCGTCTCCAAATCTTCCAAAAAGTCTCTCCAATTGCATTTGTTCTTGAACACAAGAATTCTGCCTTCTGCGTCGTACTTCTCGCGCGTTTTAAAAACGTCGCTGACGGGTGGGAGTGATGGAATCACCTTGAAATAAATTGCAGAGAAAAACTCGATGAATTCGCTGCGCACCAGTTCTTGCGCCTTCATAAATTGTTCCATTCGAAGCATTCCATTCCCCTTCGAGTTCAATTTGGCGACTCTTGCGGGGAGTGTTGTCGAGTCTCTGAACAGTGGAGTCCCGTCATAGGGGTCAATGCCATTATCGTTCGCATCAATAGCAATGATGAAGCTGTTATAAATCTTCAGCTCAAGCCACGAGAGTTGGTCGGCAGTTAACTTCTCTCCGAATGGGTCGATAAAGTCGATGACATTCGCGATGATCTCTTTTCCAAAGTGTTTGTAAATGAGTCCGCACGAACTTAAGCGGATTGTGTGTTGTGAGCTGTACGTTTCGACAAACCCCTTTTGGTGGTGGTCATATCTGTTTGTGTCGGGGTCATACACTCCGCCAATATCAAACACCAAGTCACAGCGATTCAATTCGATGGGGTCGAGTGTACGAATAAGTCGGTGATGTCGATACAAGTTCGTGTACCCCAACAGTACCGACGCGGAGACGTCGTCGCAGTGAAAGTTTGAGGCGTGGGTAGCAACTATTCCTCGCATCTTATGGTATTGTGAGTTCTTTTGAGTCGTGATGGAGTCTATAAATACGATGAAACTATTGAAACTAGTATTTTACTATAAATCAATTACCCTTATTCAGTCTCAGTACCAGAATCCGTGTCGGCGGCTTCAGTGGCGGATGGTGCTGGAGATATGACATTTGGCGCCTCAGTTTTCTTCAACTTCTTGACGCTGTTATCGACTCTCTTCTCGTATTGTTTAATGAACACTTCGAAGTAGAAATTAGCGCCGTTAGCAATCGCCCAACTAGTGCAAAGGATGATCCAAGCCAAGTTGAGGTATTGGTATTTGTAGTACAAGAAAGCTGGTACAATGGTGAGAATTGTGTAAACAAATTGGACGGAGACTAAGATGACAAGTGGTCGATCTTTGACGCCCTTTTTGACTAAATAGAGATAAATGGGATGGGGGTGTTCTTGGCTTAGCCATATGAGTGAGGTGATGTATCCATTCTTCTTAATTGTCTCTTTCTTGAAGCCTTCTGTGATAATCAAATACACAATTTGCCAGAAGATATAAAGTATTGCGGGGAGAATAAGACCATTGAAAAGGGTCAATTCGGGAACGGTAATATATGTGTGCCACCTAATGCAATACATCACAAGAGCTGGGAATAAGTGAATATATACGGAAGTGAGTCGATCTAGATCATGGAAGACTAACGAGTTCTTCCACATTGGGATTGCCATGAGTAAAGGACCATGTGAGAACACATATGCAACTTGGAGAAATGGAGAGACGTATTCTGTTTTCATTGTAAATATAGATATGATCGTCATGATCTGGCAGAAGTAGCAGAAATCAATCATGAAGTACTGCCATCCATTCTTTGTGTAAATGAAGTATCTGGCACACAAGAGGGGTAATATTAATATAAGATAATAATATGGCATAAATGTTGGACGCGCTGACAAGATGTGTTGCGTTAACAACAACACAAGTACACCACACGCAAATGTGACTTTATCAAGTGACTTGAGAAAAGGTTCGGACTCAAGCAAGTGATTTAACTGAGTTTGATACTTGTCGATGAACGAAAGACCATGTTTGTTCATCGAACGAGTTATCGTCTGTTTCTCAAACGCTCGTTGGTACTTTTTCTCACCACTGGACATTGTCTTTTTCCAGTGCAACTTAACTCTTTTTTGTGGGGCGTTTCTTCATATAATCATTCCATTATAATATTTTTTACTATATATTATAGTAAATGTTTATACATTTATAAGAAAATATATTAATAGTAAACAGTCGATGTGTAGTTGCGGTTAAATAATTCGTTAAAGTCACAACAAAGAGCAACAGATGTTTTATCTGTCTTTATTGAAAACAAAAACTATTAACAATATAAAAATAATATATGAATTATAGTTAAAATATTGAAAAAAACTAATATATTTTCATTTTTTCATGACATTATTTAATTTATTTATTAGAATTTTTATTATATTATATAATAAAAAATGTAATAAATAATTCACAGAATAATAGTATGTCGGCAAATAATTGGTAAAAACGTCTGTTTTCATTCCCTTTGTTATATTTGAATAAAAAATGGTTTAATAATAGTTTATGTATTATTATTATAGAATTTGTCATTAAAATAAAGAAAACTTATAAAAGGAGAACTATAAAATAAATGGGATTTGGGTATCTCATATTTTTGTTAATTTGTTATTCAAAATCAAGATGCATTGGAAAAGATGATTTGGAAAGACACATCACACAAAGCGAAAAAGGTGTCATATTTATTCAAGTTGAACAAAACGAAAAGTATTTTAAAACCGACGAAATGATTTTATTGTGTAATAAGTTGCAGAACTTAGAAAGTGTCGTTTTTTACAGTTCGGTTCACAATCTCACCATTTTCATGTCTCACTGCGCAAAACGTAACATTGATTTTTACACATTTTCACAAAACAAATTCGAAAGTGAGTTCAAAAACATGAGGTATGTTGCGGAAATGTGTTCAGTTAATGATAATTCGCATTTTGACCAAAATGAATTTTTATATGAAATGCAATTCAGAACGATGTCTCGTGCAGTTGCAGTTGACAACTCAAAATTCACATATACTTTGATTCGTGATTTTTTACTTAAAAATTCATCAAAATGTGACAATGAAAAATGCAAAGGGCACAAACACCTGGTCTTGTTTTTGACAGAGGAACAAATTTTGATGATTGTAAAAACGCAACAACAGACATTGACTTTTCCTCAAAATGTTGCACCACTCTTTATATTGTTTAATCGTAATTACCAAGAAAAAGACGTTATAAAAGTGATTTACAACAAAGCTGTATTACCTCTATGCTCTTCTTATGAACGTACATGTGAGCAACTTGAATACTTTAACTGGGTTATGTCATACTAGAACTATTGAATAAATAACTTATATATTATAGTTTCACTCAATATTAAATAAATACAACAGTAGCGTCCACTATTTGGATTGCGAACACTGATACAACAAGACTCTTTGAGGGGTGAACCCAAGTCTGTCCGCAAGACTTGTACCCTTTTCAACGTCATCGTAATCTTTGCAGAAATCGTCCCAAGTTTTCCCTTTCTTTTCAAAAAGATAAGGCCTCAAGTAAAATGCATTGTTCACTCTGTAAAAAGTCTCGTCGTCGTAGACCATTCTGATACTCCTTTGCTTGCAATAGACTCCACTTCTCTTTTTATAAAAACCGTAGACAGGAACACCTCCGCGGAGTAACGAGAACACAAAGAAATTTTCGTCGGATGTCCAATTCATGTCGGGGGACGTAATTTTGATGGGTTGTGTGTGGAACGACCCGAATATGTCGTCTGACGCAGTGATGATAATCCCAAGAACGTCTTGTCTTCCGAATATTGCGGATTGGAATGTGCGTTGATTGAATGGCATCTCATCAGAGTCAAAAAGTTTCTCAAATGTGTCACAGCTTGTCCACGAGTTAAGAGCAAAGAGGGGAGACGTCTCGGAATTTTGCGTCAATAACAACTTGAGTTGGACACGGCGTTGCTCGCGGATGTCTTCTAAATCTTTTTTCTGTTGTTGCACTGTTTTCAATTCATCTTGAACATTCCCTATTTGCTCAAGTAAAGTCGACTCTTTCTTTTTCAATGTGTCAACTTGCGTCTTCAACTTGGTGATATGGGTTCCAATTTGTTTGATCTTTTGAAGAGATGTCGATTCGACACGTTCACGGAGTTCTTGTGGAATACGTTCCTTGAAAGTCTCGTAATCCGGGATATCTTCGTCTCCCATTTTTTAGGTTCTTAGATTACTCCCGTTCCAACTTGATTTTAATCACAAAGTGACAAAACGAAGGTTTTTCACTTTGACCATCGTTTTTGTTATTGTCAGTCCGTTGATTGTATTTTTTTTATTCATTTAACATTTATATAACTTTTTACATAATATGAGTTTTTAAAAAACGGGATATTTGAACAATAAATTGAAGTTTATTTATTAAATAAACTTTATTTTTTATTTTTTTTAATTAATGAATATTAAATCAAAATATATAGTTAATAATAACCAAAATATATTAATTAGTTTAACTATTTTATAACTTATTTTATTATACTTTTATTAAAGTGACTTTATTTAAAAAAATCAAATAAATATTAAATTATTTTAATCAGTTTATTATTTAAATTGTTAACCAAAATAATAGTTAATTTGATTATTATTTATAGGTTAATATATTATTATTAATTAATTGGTTATTTTTATAAAAAAAACGTTTAAATACAAAAAAATAAAGCATTTTGATTTTTGTTCCAAAAAACCCATTTTTTCGGGAACAAATACTCATAACTGCCTAACTAAAAAGAGTTTGACATGCCTCATTTTTTTCAATGACTATTTTATATTATGAGTTATATTAAGACCAAATTACTATTTTTTAGTCCAAGTAATCCCATTTATGAGAATTATTTTTAATGTTATTTTTTTATTAGAAAATGAATCATAAAAAAACAAACAACATTTTTTTTTATTGACAAATTCTATATATATATCTATTATTTAAACTATTAAAAAGGAATGAAATGTCATTTATTTTTTTTACTATCAAATTGGTGTTTTGATAGTTTAAACGGCAGAATATAAAATTAATGAGCCAGAAAAGAGAAACAATAAGAAAACCAAAACGAAAATGATGTTGAACAAAAGTCAAAAATTGTTAATTCTGTAACATTCCCGAAAAATCAGCAATAAACCATGTGTAATAACAAATAAAATCGACAAAACTTGCCAAAGAAATTCTATTCCTTGAATCGACTTTCTCGCCCTCATCTTTTTCGTGTCGAATTAAAATGTTGTGCACAATATCCAAATAATGCCGACAATAATTGGGAGGCTCTTGGAATTATACTTAAATTGTATATAAAACCATTCTTTATAGTAATTCGGAGTTGTCAAAAACCAAATATGCGGAACGATATGGTTGGCGGAAGGAAGAGTCTGATAAAGGGACAAAATAAAGGATAGTAGTGTGCTAGATAAGTCATGTGAACTACATTTTCATATCTTTCATGAAAGTTGGGTTGAATCGCCCATTTTTGAACTACGTCCGGATGTGTGCCATTGGTTTTATGTTTAACTTCGGTGTTTACTTCTTTTGGCTCGTCATTCCTATCATCCTAAAGGACTACGACGTCAATTCCATATTCATCGGCCTTGCTCCGACATTCACCTTTGGAACAGCGGGATTTCTATCTATTTTAACAGGTTACTTGTCTGATATCATCGACGCAGAGTGCCTTGTTTCACTTGCCTCAGTACTTAATGGTGTTGCTTGCTTCATGCTTGGCCTTGTATGCGCCGCACACACAAACTACTACCTCTTTGTCCTATCACTGTTTATCCAAGGTATCTCTTTCGGTCTCTTCTATTCCCCCATAGAAACACTTATTTCTTTGCACTCAGAAGAAGGAAAGGAAGGGAGGAACCTTGCTATTTTCTTCACTGTGTGCTATCTTGGAACGTCATTTGGGTTTTTGTGTGGAGGGAGCGTTATACTGCTCTGTGGAAACACATTCACGTTGTATATTGTCGGTTTCATTTCGTTGTTTATCTTCTTTGTTGTGCCCAGGAAATTCAATGACATCAAGAAGGGTTCAACGAAGGTGAAGGAAAGCTTCGAGGACGATGTAAAAGAAACAAAATCTGTTAGTCTTTCCACAGAAAGCTCATCAGAGGCTTCTTCGTTGGTAAACTCACCACAAAACACGGAAAGTAAAACCGAGGAGAAGGAACCTGTCAAGAAAGTCAGTCATTACAGAGAAAAGGTAGAAAGGTGGACATTCTTTTTGGTATCATGTTTTGTCAGTGTTGTGATTTACGGTTCGTTGGCAATTATAACGGACCAGTATGTTGGGTATGCAGAAGATGAAGGAATTGTATTGGAAGGTGTTTCGAAGCAGTCGTCTGTCTTTGTTGGTGTGTTTTTGTTCATATTGAGTATATTCGAAACAATTTCATTTGTTATCATGGGAATTACCGACGTGTGGGTTAATAAGGCGTTCCTCAATTTGTTGGCGCACTTAACGATCATCATACTTGGGTTGTTTTTGTACTACGTGAAGGTGGGGTGGGTGCTTGTGATTTTTGTCTCGCCGGTACTTGGACTTGTGTGTGGGTACGAATACCAAGCAAATGTGGTCTATGCGTTGAATTTGAAATCGCGCCCAGGCTTCTTCTTGGGGGTGAACGAGTTTGTCGCGAACGTGACGTATTGTGTGTGTCCTTTTATTGCTGGTGTGATGATGGATTTTATTGACCGAGACTGGTGTATTCTTTTGATCATCGTTTTGAACGTGTTTGGTCTTATTATTGCGACTGCGCTGCACTTTTTTGGTGCTGTGTTGGTATACAAAAAGCGAATTACAGACGAGTCTGGCAATTAAGAGTGAGGAGTGTGACTCTGTACAATTTAAATCAGATACAATAACTATACTATCTATCGATTCACTTGCTGTGCTTTTATTGAATTGATGTTTACTTTTTATTTTTTCTATTTTCATATATAAAACAATTTCTATATCAAGCTATATATTAATTAGACTCTCAAGTGCCAATTTTCCATCGACACAACTGAACCACACATTAATAATAAAATAATTAAAAATGAACTATACAGTGATGAGGACGAATAGTAAGTAAAGAATAGTAAAAAGAAGTAAAAAAGTGTTAA